GTAAACGACCCAACATGTCTCTGAGAAGATTTCAGTTCGGCTTGTTTGCATATTTTATGTGGTTTAAATACTATTGTCACGACTTCCTCCTCTCCTTGTACGGGCAGGCTTCAGCGTTCGTCGTCACCAGCCTTCTAGCCACTGCCGCTCCTCATCTCATCATTCCATTTGTTTTGTCTTGTTTATTACACACACCTGGTTCATATCCCCTCATCAGTACCTGTATAAGTGTTCCCTCTGCCCCCTTGTCTTTGTGTGTGATTGTTTATTGTGGAGGTTAGAGAAGCTCGGTGGAGCTCCTTGTATTTTGTATCGCTGGGATATTTCCCTGTGTGCCTTGTTGTTTTGACGGATACAATTTGGTCATTCAGCATACGCTCTTATCCAGAGCGACTTAGTCAGTACATTCAACTAAGGTAGATAAAGTCATAGAAAAAAATATCTGTAACCGTTACTGAGAATGTTGAAGTGGTCGATTGTTTTATTCTGTAGGTTGAACAACTTTGAACATTACCAGTTTTAAAGCTTTTGAAAAAGCTGACAAGTGCATGTGACAGAATTTTTCAGCAGTAATATTCTGTTTTAATCTTCAGTTGGCCCCTCTTTCCTATATTAGGATGCTTGAAAAATTGTGATATGCTTACTTCATTCAGAATGTATGTGCAGTTGAAATTTTGCCATAGAATCAATGACTGAAAGACGCATTTTCAACATCTGTAAATTAAGTATTTTCAGCTTACAGTCATCAACTAAAATGCACCCGATTTCAACGTCTGGAAAAGACATCGAAAAGACATATTTTCAACATAATTTTGCTTAGTGGGATGTCTGTGTAAACACACCTCTTACAAGCTTTGCTTACCTCTCATAGTTGTGGATAGTCATGACATTCCAGCCTCTCCATGTTTGTGGTCTGTTTACATTTTGTCTGAGATTAACACCATGTTGAGGTCAGTGACCAGCCTTGTAGTCTACACTGATTGCTTATATTGTTATGTACACCGCATTAGCTGAATACCTTTGGTTGAGGTTATAGTAATACTGTGTCACGAGTATGTCCAAAAAAAAGTTATTTCGATCCCAATACCCCAGACACAGGCAGGAGGCGGACAGTCAGTGTTTATGGTTCTTTAATATCTTAATTTTGTCTTAGTATTAAAAAGGGGTTTACAGAATAAAAACAACAGTACAAAACACAAGGACAGGCCCGGGCACACTCACACCACATTTACGCTGGAGTCCATAGTTGATTGGCATGGAGCATTCATCGCTTCTGCGTTGGCATCATGGGGTTCTGATGCGGTAGTCAAGGCCTCTGCAGTCTCGTCGTAGCAGGCCACGTCTGGAGAGGGTGGAGAAAGCTTAATCAGTAACGTCATCATACTCGAAACCATTGGTACGCACTCACACGTCGTTCGGCTCTTCATCCCGAGCAGGGTCGTTCCGTTCGGCTCTTCGCAAGCAGGGTCACTCTCATCCGGTCCTCTCTCTCCAGACGCGGCGATAGTGGTGTGGCTGAGCACAGCCTGTGGCACCTGTCCTCTCCCTTTGCTAGCTTGAATCTCTGCTGAACATTGTCAGAGTTGCCTTTGTGCAGGGACAGATCATTAACCCCAATCCTCCTCAGATGTGGGGGTCATGGCTCAGGTCCCTAATTAACACACTCATTCCCTCATTCACACAACAAGACGAGCACTTAAAAGGGGTTAACGAATTCAAAGGAAAGGAAGTCACTCAAATAAGTAAATAAGTAAACCAAAAACACAGCACAAGCTAAGAATAAATAAACAAAGCACTTTAAGTAAATCAATTCAAAATAAAGCACACGAGAGAAAAGGAAAAAGGACTAAAAGAAACATAGGCACACGTGACTTACACAATAATCTAAATGGAAGTTGACTCTCTGGCTACTGAACACAAACGAGCCTATGCATTTACTCTAACATACATACATACAGCACCAGTCAAATCTTTGGACACACCTAATCATTCAAGGGTTTTTCTTTATTTTTACTTTGTTCTACATTGTAGAATAATAGTGAAGACATCAAAACTATGAAATAACACATATGGAATCATTTAGTAAAAAAGTGTTAAACAAATTAAAAATATTTTATATTTGAGATTCTTCAAAACATTTACATTTTAGTCATTTAGCAGACGCTCTTATCCAGAGCGATTTACAGTTTACAAATAGCCACCCTTTGCCTTGATGACAGCTTTGCACACTCTTGGCATTCTCTCAGCCAGCTTCATGAGGTAGTCACCTGGAATGCATTTCAATTAACAGGTGTGCCTTCTTAAGAGTTCATTTGTGGAATTTATTTCCGTCTTAATGCATTTGAGCCAATCAGTTGTGTTGTGACAAGGTAGGGGGGGGTATACAGAGATGGTCTTTTACCAAATAAGGCTAAGTCCATATTATGGGGAGAACAGCTCAAATAAGCAAAGAGAAACGACAGTTCATCATTACTTTAAGATATGAAGGACAGTCAATACGGAACATTTCAAGACATTTTTAAGTTTCTTCAAGTGCAGCCACAAAAACCATAAAGCGCAATGATGAAACTGGCTCTGAGGACTACCACAGGAATGGAAGACCCAAAGTTACCTCTACTGCAGAAGATAAGTTCATTAGAGTTACCAGCCTCAGAAATTGCAGCCCAAATAAATGCTTCACAGAGTTCAAGTAACAGACATCTCAACATCAACTGTTCAGAAGTGACTATGTGAATCAGGCCTTCATGGTCGAATTGCTGCAAAGAAACCACTACTAAAGGACACCAATAAGAAGAAGAGACCTGCTTGGGCCAAGAAACACGAGCAATGGACATTAGACCAGTGGAAATGTGTCTTTGTGAGACGCGTGTGGGTGAACGGATGATCTCCGCATGTGTAGTTCCCACCGTAAAGCATGGAGGAGGTGTTATGGTGTGGGGGTGCTTGGCTGGTGACACTGTTGGTGATTTATTTAGAATTCAAGGCACACTTAACCAGCATGGCTACCACAGCATTCTGCAGCGATACGCCATCCCATCTGGTTTGGGCTTAGTGGGACTATCATTTGTTTTTCAACAGGACAATGACCCAACACACCTCCAAGCTGTGTAAGGGCTATTTTACCAAGAAGTAGATTGACGGAGTGCTGCATCAGAAGACCTGGCCTCCACAATCCCCCGACCTCAACCCAATTGAGATGGTTTGGGATGAGTCGAACAGCAGAGTGAAGGAAAAGCAGCCAACAAGTGCTCAGCATATGTGGGAACTCCTTCAAGACTGTTGGGAAAGCATTCCAGGTGAAGATGGTTGAGAGAATGCCAAGAGTTTGTAAAGCTGTTATCAAGGCAAAGGGTGGCTATTTGAAGAATCTCAAATAAACAAATCAAAATATGTTATAACACTTTTTTGGTTACTACATGATTCCATGTGTTATTTCATAGTTTTGATGTCTTCACTATTATTATACAATGTAAAGAATAGTAAAAAATAAAGACAAACCCTTGAATGAGTGGGTGTGTCCTAACTTTTGATTGGTAATGTACATACATTTGAGTTGAACTAGATAACCAATATTACTAGCATACAAACTAGGTCCTCAGTAGTACCAGTGTTGTGAAAACAAGATATGTAGTTGAATCTGTGTTGAATCAGTGTTTGGTCTTCATGCACTCACTGCTTATTAGGTATACAACACAAAGTGAGGAGATGGCGACTCTCTGTGGTTATAGTGTGTAGTTGAAGCATATTTCTGTGAGTGCCTATGTATGTAGTAGGCCCCCTGATGTCTGACCTTTTTTGTCCAAGAGATGGCAGTATATGAAAAACATTCTGAATTTATTGGACGGAGGCATCATTGATAAAAACAAATACAATTATTTGCACTAAACATAGCTACTCTTTCACTAAAAACAAATTAAGCAACCTGTTGTGACCCAAAATGCATTTCAACAACACTCATCTCAAGTGCATCATCACCACAAACATGCACCCTAGTAAATGTAAATAAAACATTTTAGACCTGAATTCAGCAATTGAGTCAGTCCTTGCAAACGAACTATTTTTTGTTGTGGTGTAAAAATTGAATTTTTTACAACAATAACTGGCCTGTAGGAGGTACAGTATTGAGTCAAATTAATCTGATCTGCGAATAAACCTACTTCACCAGCTTCCCATCCATGATCGTAGTTCATTCTGTGACAGTCTAAATGCGCTATGTTTTTTGCACAATTAATTCCATCTTGCTTCTCACTACCAAAAACAATTCATCAAATATTAGGGCTATATGTTGTACATATGTTTTTAATTTAAATGTGTTCAGTTCAAGATTGACAGATGTAACAGTGAACGCATGTGAGTGAGACACCCTACAAACATACAGTAAGGAGAGATGTTTTTTTTTTATCATGCCACATTTTGCGCCCGCCAGATAGTCAAATACAGGGATAGAGAAAACAGGATATTGGTTATGCAGGCCGACAATCTCTATAGTACATACACTGAAGGATCTAGATATCTTCATACAGCACTTTTTCCTTATTACATTGCTGCAGAGGAATTCGATGATAAGCAGATGTATCAACATCAGACAGTAATTACAAATAGTCTTGTTCACCACCCATTTGTCTGAAAAGAAGCCTTACATATTAGGCTCCTTCGGGACATTTTTCTCCATCATCTGAACAAATCATCTAAGGGTGCAGACTGATGTCTGTCATCAGAGAACCACTGTGGTCCTCTGTAGCTCAGCTGGTAGAGCACGGCGCTTGTAACGCCAAGGTAGTGTGTTCGATCCCCGGGACCACCCATACACAAAAAAAAATGTATGCACGCATGACTGTAAGTCGCTTTGGATAAAAGCGTCTGCTAAATGGCATATTATTATTATTATTATGTCTATGGACAGACAGTGTTAAAGATTACACTTTTGTGAGAGTCCAATAGTTATAATCCTCCTATCACAATGTGACCATCAAGTCACAATAGATTAAGCAGGGCATGTCTCATAAATGTGGGGTAAAGTAGGACGGCTGGAGATGATAACCATTGGGTAAAAAGGGATGTAACATCCCTCCAGTGGACGACAGAGGAACCGCACCATCAGTATGGAATATCATATTCACAGAGCTGAAGGATGGGAAAGTTTGGTAATTGGCTGAACTCGACACACAAGTCACAGGGCTTGGGTTGACACTGACCAAAGAGTTGGACCCGGGTGGCATCGTGCTGTCTGCGCCCGGGTTCTGTTTTTTCCACTTGGTTCTTCTGTTCTGGAACCAGATCTTGACCTGGGTCTCAGTGAGGCTGAGGGACAGAGCCAGGTTGAGTCTCTCACACACGGACAGGTATCTCGTAGAGCGGAATTTGTTCTCCAGAGCCACCAGTTGTTCGTAGGTGAAGGCAGTTCTGGCGCGTCGCGGCTTGGCACAACTGTGATCCGAGCGCAGCCGTTTGTGGGGCGAGAGGTCATGTGTTGCTGAAGTTTCGGCGCTGCTGCTGATGCTGTCCACGTCCCCCTCTTCTTGCTCCTCTGGCTCAGTCGTTGAGCGTAATAAAAGTGGGTTGTCGACAGCTACCTTGTGTTTGAGATCTGTGCTACTTGAGTGGTCAGTGTCTTCGCCTGTGAACACAGACATGAACATTAGTACTGTAAATGGGATTTTCAAGAGAAAATCCAATTCCCTGAAAATGCTCATGTTTTTGATCTCATACACAGGGAAATAAGACCGCACCGAAAATAGGTCTATCTAATAGCGTAACTGTAAAATGTGTTTGATTGAAATCAGGGAGTTGTGCGTGTGGAACGAAGCGAGGGTTAAGAAGCGGACTAGGGTGGCTTGGCCTCTAATCCCTAAATCATTTATAAATCACAAATCGCCTCAAATGTCATGTTGCGGAGAGAAATCACAGCTAAATCCTGCTCCACCATCTACCCATGACGTGCTAATGGAGTTTCATATTTGTGGGTGGATCGATAAATGTCATCTATTTAAAGGGAAGTTTTAATCGAACGATATTTAGGATCAGACATGGATGGGGTTTAGAGTTTGTACCTGCAAGGTGCTGGAGGGAGATATGCAGGATGCAGTAATGGGATATCGATCAAAGCGAGCGAAGGCATCCTAAATGGGACGATTTAAACAATTATCTGGCAAGTCTGTCCCAATGCCAATCACACACCCGGGCTGTGGGAGCAACCCTTTGTGGGTTTCTTAAAAGGAAACCTAGCCTTGGAAATTAAGGGAAGGTCATATAGAGATGACAACATTTTATCTGATATAATAGCCACTCTTAGTTGGTCAGTGAACCAAGAATCTATAGGGGTTTCTTATATTGGCTATTAGACCTACATCGTATACACTATGGACATATTATGTATTTTATTTGATCCCTTATGTTCAAAATAAATTATATGGACATAATTAATTTGATAATGCTAAACACATTATGCTGAACTGAATTAATAAAACACTACATTGGCTTCATTCGTTTATTGATCCACTATGTTCCCTTAAAACAAAAAAGAACAGAAGATATAGCCATATCAAAAACGCATTATTGTCTGTAGTTTTGTGATATCATTACCTGCTTCCATGTGCTCAAGTGGCTGCTCTCCATCTGCGCCAGTGTCCGCTTCTAAACTTGCCACTCCTGCGTTCAGCAAAGGAAACTTGTCCTTTGTTGGAGAAAGTTCGATTATCTTCTTGCTATTAAATTTATTTGGGTCCAATATATCAATTATAGAAAAAGAAATCCTATGACTAGATGTCATTTTCACATTAGAATCCTTGGAATCCAACATCCTTTGAAATCCCTCTAAATTGATCAAAGAGAAGAGGTGAGAAGTCGCACGCGATATTACGCTTCTGGGTAGGCACTTGGCAGACTTTCTGCACGTTAAACTGGTCAACTGGCTGTCCCACAAAGTGCACCTGTCCTCAGATTTCTCCGTCAGTCTGGCCAAGTGATGGTCGGTTAGTGAGATCTTAAAGCGTCTGTCCTCTCTGCTCGATTCGAAGAGACGCGGTTTCTGGCTCCCACGTGACAGACACATTAGCGTTTCACACGACCTCCTGTAATTGGCATAAAGCATTCGTCGATAATCACCCATATCATTAAATCCAATGATTTCCGACCCTTTACCGAAAGTGAATGGGTGACAGGTTGCTAAATAAAACTGTCTGTGCAACTCTTCTGTCATGGAAATAATATGTGATACAATCCTCTATTTCCCCTTCATATTTTTTTTTATTTTTATTATCTGTAAAAAGTTTGAGTGTTTGAGAGTTTTAAAATGTTGGTTTGTCATTTTTGCCATGTAGGAAAATTTTGCTGTTGCTGAATTCCAAAGGGACACAAAGATAGCCAATGCACAGTGCACACAACAAAAATAAAGCGAGACCTCAGTCAGCATTACTGCATCTAATAGGTACATAGTTGGGTTTGTTTGGAATAGATTTCCAATACTAATAGTTTTGGATAACCCAACATTCCTGTATTCTAATTATATCTTAATGTGGATTATCTATTATACAAATTAACTATATGATCCACATGATTACAGGCAGGTCTGCCCCACAACATGAGCAAACGTATCTACAGTATGTATGTTGTCTGATTATTTACTTTGGTTTTGTAATAGATTCAATGTTCACAATCAATCGATGGGCTCTAAAGCACGTGTCGAACTCATTCCACGGAGGGCCGAGTGTCTGCGGGTTTTCGCTCCTCCCTTGTATTTGATTGATGAATTAAGGTCACTAATTAGTAAATAACTCCCCTCACCTGATTTTCTGCATTATACAGAGTGGTTTCAGGTAGCCTGATTTCAGATGTGTCCATGTAAACAGGATTATTAGGGAAATTGTTCATCTTGCAAAGCATGTAAACGTTGTAATGGAACTATTATATTCATCTGATTATCCACAATAATCATTGCGTGCATGTAACTGTACTCAGTGACTGGAGTCAGGAACGGCCGCAGTCGTCAACGATTTGAATGGATGGAATGGAAGACATGAATATCCTGGTGATGCTGTTTTAGCAACAACATTTTTAAAAGAATATAAACCACCAGAATCATTGAGAAAGAAACATTAGATGTCAAAAAAGAATGACAACTTTTTATGTAATAGTATTTTTTCTTTAGCTTTTTATATTTAAAAAAGTTGTATAACATTATCACAGGGTAAGCACTGCCTAACCTGACTGTCTGCACACCACTGATCTCCTCTCAGCCCACAAAACGAACTAACAAGAAATCCTCTAAAAGCTGGTCCTGGCTCTAGGGGCAGTATTGTTGCTGTTAAAGAGTGAGTGGGATAATTTGCAATGGAAATTCGATAGCTCCCGCTTCATTGTGGAAATTGCATGTGGCAATTATGGCGCCCATATGCGGGGCATTGAGAGAAGGAATTCTATGAAATACACATTAATTAGTAGTTGATAGCAATTATTTAAAAAGGCAGTGAACTGGTGAAAAGTAACCAGATATAACCTTGCGATACTACGTGGCCAATATTTGCTCTAATACTATTTACGAACCGATAAAAAAGATTCCGTAAGTGTAATTGATTCTGCCTTACTAGGCTAGAGACAGGAGCTATAGGATAGTCCTGCATGCTTTAGAAGTAACTTTATGAGGGCATCCTGATAAACCTTGTGAGAAATGTATGCATAAAACTCGAAGCGAGGGATAATGGCTTGTAAAGAGGAAGTTTTATTTGTTGTTTTTAACACAATGTTTGAAGGTTAATAAACAATACAAATATATTTGATCAGTGGACCAGGCTGCTAAATTTAGGTGGCAGGATTGGAACTAGTCAAGATACAGTGGGGTCTGAAATTATTGACACCCTTTATAAAGATGAGCAAAAACAACTGTATAAAATAAATAATTAAAATACTGAACTATATTGGGTATTATGTTATTTTATCTCAGAGAAAGAGATTTTGTTTAACAAGTAATTAGTTTTCTCTCCAAAAATTAGGGGTCAAAATGATTGACATCGTTGTTTTCAACATCTCACCTTGTGAGGATAATGGCACTGAGACATTTTCTGAAATGTTTTAAGCAGGTTTTTGGCTAAAACATTCTGGTACAGGGTAAAGTTCATGATGCCATTGACCTTAACAAGGGCCCCAGGACCAGTGGAAGCAAAATAGCCCATAACATCAAAGATCCACCTCCATATTTTACAGAAGGCATGTGGTTCTTTTCTGCTCATGCATTCTCATTTAGACGCCAAACCCACCACTGGTGTGCAAGGCCAAAGAGCTCAATTATCATGTCATCCAACAAATGTAAACGCCTGGAGTTTGCTAAACAGCATTGGCACATAGATTGTAACCGGTGCTTTGGTCAGATTACATGAAAATATAGCTCTTTGGCCACAGACACCAGTGGTGGGTTTGCCGTCAAAATGAGAATGCATGAGCTAATTACCTTCCACTGGTCCTGGAGCCCTTGTTAAGGTCAACAACAGAATGAACCTACAAGGACATTTTAGACAAAAACCTGGTTGCCTCTGCCATGAGGCTGAAACTTGGCCGCAAGTGGAATCTCCAGTAAAACAATAACCCCAAGCACACATCAAAATCCACAAAGACCAACATTTTGCAATGGCCATCTCAGTCTCCAGACTTGAGGTTTACATTTCAGTCATTTAGCAGACGCTCTTATCCAGAGCAACTTACAGTTAGTGAATTAACTTATTTTTTTTATACTGGTCCCCCGTGGGAAACGAACCCACATCCCTGCCGGCCAAACCCTCCCCTACCTTGGACCAATTGTGCACCGCCCATGGGTCTCCCAGTTGCGGCCAGCTGCGACAGAGTCTGGACTCGAACCAGGATCTCTAGTGGCACAGCTAGCACTGTGATGCAGTGCCTTAGACCACTGTGCCACTCTGGAGTCACTCAGGTTTGAATTGAAAAGGGCAGTCCATAAGTGCAGATGAAGGAGATCAAGGATCTGGAAGGATTCTGTATGGATGAATGGTATAAGATCCCTCCCAACGTGTTCCCCAACTCATAAAACATTTTAGAAAAAGGCTCAGTGCCGTTATCCTCGTAAGGTGAGGTATTGAAAGGTATTGAAAACAGGGGTGTCAATAATTTTGACCCATACCTTTTATGAGACAAATAAGTATTAATTGTTAAACAAAATCTCTTTCTCTGAGCAATTGTATTACTATAACATAATATAATTTCCCAATGTTTTTGAGCATATAACTATTTTATAAAATAGTTTTTGCTCATCTTTACCAATGGTGTCAACAATTTCAGACCCCACTGTAGATGTCTCTACTGCTGGGAAGGTGAAAGAGATGGTCTTAGATGTTTTGAAGATAATTTAGACATCTATGAGATCACAGTGTAATGACAAGGCTTGAAAACCTAGGTTGCCTAGGGATAAAATATATTTAGCTTATATAGAAATAACCTGCCTCGTGTGTGATGGTGTTTATATTAAAATGCATGCAAATGATACCGTTATATACATGCCACAACTGCAGAAGAAGTTGCATCTGAGCTAACTGAAGCTATGGCACATGTATCACAATGGCTTGAGCAGTCATGTCCCACTAGGCAAAACTGGTTGAATCAATGTTGTTTCCATGTCATTTCAACAAAAAAATTCAACATGATGACATTGAATCAATCTGGAATACTCATTGAAATTGAAAAAAGTCATCAACATAAGGGAATCAGTCTTTTTTTCACCCAACTTTTAAACTAAATCCAATGCCATTGTGAAATATTTTGTTGATTCCATGTTGAATTCAGGTTAGTTGACAAATCAACCAAATATAAATCAGAAATACACATTGAACTGACATCTTTGTGCTGTGGGGTCTTAGTTTATAAATTATAAAATGTGAACAAAACGGTTGGTATGTGTTTCTCGGTAAGTAAAAAGCATGTAGTGTAACTTTTCCTGACATTTTTATTAAGGCAGAAACAATCAGGGGCAGTAATGTCGCTGTTAAAGAGTGAGTGGGATAATTTGGAATGAAAATTCCTTAGCTCCCGCTTCCGGGTGGGAATATCACATGACAGTATCTACCACAGAAACTTATGTGTGGTCCTACCAGTGCACTCTTATGGGTGAAGGAGGCGAACAGAAGGGCTATTACACTGTGGCCATGTCTGTTAGTGAAGAAGGGGACCAAAATGAAGTTTACACACTGTTAAACGATCTCCCAAATTCTTCCCCATCTTCCATTTCCTCCCTGATCGTGTGTAGTTTATGACTATACGTAATTAAGCTTTCCCATCGCTGCTTTGTTCCTGCCAGTCGTAGTCTGGTGGACTGGCATGATCCATAGTAGTTACATAGTCAAACATTTGCTAAAGCAGCCCAACTGAGTAGCCTGTTTGTCTACATTAGCATGTGTATGGCGATGGCACAGCTATTACTGTGGGGACTCCATATGAATAGAGCAATGCATGCTGGAGGTTTACAACTTGATGCGAGTTGGCCCAGTAGTCGAACATCTGTGTGCGTTAGGCCAGGACACAAAGCACGCCCCCGGGGACATAGAGGGACCAGGTAGACATCAGAGGACGGTGACATCAGCTGGCCTTGTCTGCATCCACAGTGGGCAGAGCCATAGATCAGAGGGGGACCTCAGACCCAGCCAAAGCTCCTGGGGTGCTAGGGGGGGCACGCTTCCATTCAGGATCCCCTTCCAGGGCCAATAAAGTCATTACCTCACTAGGGAGGCTGTCCCAGTCTGCTAAATGTCAGATAATATGTCTAATGGCAGGAGTCACATTATGAGGTGGGCTTCCATTGAC